TTGCAGAAGCTTCTGAATCTTGGGGATACGAGTAGAACCACCCACCAGTACAATATCATGGATCTGTGACTTGTCTAGTTTGGCATCTCGAAGAGCTTTTTCTACAGGGTCAAGGGTGCCACGGAACAGGTCAGCATTCAACTCTTCAAATCGAGCACGGGTAATGGAGGTATAGAAGTCGATTCCTTCATAGAGAGAATCAATCTCAATACTGGCCTGAGTGCTGGAAGAGAGGGTACGCTTAGCTCTTTCACATGCAGTACGGAGACGTCGGACAGCTCTTTTGTTCTCACTGATGTCCTTCTTATGCTTGCGCTTGAACTCTGCGATAAAATGATTGACCATTCTGTTGTCAAAGTCTTCTCCACCTAAGTGGGTGTCTCCAGCTGTAGATTTGACCTCAAAGATTCCATCCTCAATAGTGAGGATTGACACATCAAAAGTGCCACCTCCTAAATCAAAAATYAGCACATTTCTTTCAGCTCCAACCTGCCATTAAAAAATAAACTTATATGTAAATTACTGACAGCTAATAACAAATCCTAAATCTAGATTTGCATTCGAAGACAAAAACTAAGACAAACCTTTTTGTCCAAACCATAAGCGATAGCAGCAGCAGTTGGCTCATTGATTATCCTAAGTACATTGAGACCAGCAATGGTTCCAGCATCTTTGGTTGCCTGAYGCTGAGAATCATTGAAGTAAGCTGGCACTGTGACCACAGCATTGGTAACGGTCTACAATAAAGTAACAAAACACAGAAAAACCCAGATTAATAAAGTTACAGTACAATTTGTTTTACTTCGTCCCAGATTCAAATTAATTAACATGCACTCAAATTCCAGTTGGAACCCCCCCTTGTTAAATTCCTACATTGTCCAAAAAAAAAAACACAGCCTCACCTTCCCAAGGTAGGCCTCTGCAATTTCCTTCATCTTTGTCAGAACCATAGATGACACCTCTTCTGGATAGAAACTTTTTGTCTCTCCCTTGTATTCTACTTGGACTTTGGGCCTGCCTGCATCATTCACCACCATAAAGGGCCAGTGCTTCATATCAGACTGGACAACAGCATCATCAAACCTCCGCCCTATCAGACGTTTGGCATC